TCTACTGTTATGTACGTCCGTCTTGTCAATGCAATGAGCATCCGTTGTGGATGTGAGCAGATGGAGAGGCGCCACTTGAGGCTATGATGGAAGAAGAAAATTTGGAGGACGCCAAACCTAGTCGAAGTGGAGGTTAAGGCCGAGCAGTAGGACCGCTCGCTTTTAGTAGTTGTTAGTGGTTTTAGTTTTGTTTTAGGACGTTCGATTACTTGTTTGTAAAACCGTTCGTTATTAGCGTTCGTTTTAATAAATTTTTGGGGCTCGACTGTTGTGGCACTGAAACTCCTAGCCGTTTTGGTTGCGGTTCTTGTTTTGCTATAAGACTGTTGACTGTTTACTGTTAATTGTAATTAATTAATTAATGGTTAATTACTATTTATTGGGATTTACTCAAATAATTTTTTATTTAAAAATTACTAATTAAAAAATATTTTAATCCTTCTTAAAAATTATTTTCCAATCACAAAATAAATTATACAGGCTATTTTTATTAAAGAATAAATTGTATTTTAGTTTAAGCTCTATTTCGTTCACTTTTTTAAATTTTCAGAAATATTAAAGAGTCAAAAGTGGAGGAATGAAAAAAAGAAAAAAAAAGTAATTGAATTTTATATTGATTTTTACTTTTACATTGAAAATTATCAAGTCAAAATGTTGTTTTTTTTAATTCAATAAAAATGAGAAGAAAAATTATGGCGGAATGGAAGTGGGCACGTACAATTAAATCTTATGTACTTTTTATTTAACTTTTTAGACTTTTAATATTGTTATTTTAGGAAAGTGGACAAGTCTCGTCAGGAATTCTAACGACAGTCATGTAGATAACAGTGAATTGAAACAACATAAACAATAATTGAGACTAAAACTGATTATATTAAAATAAAAATATAATTATACTAGGTGAATTGTAATTGATTATGTTATAATTAAAAAATTTATTTTTAAAAAAATTATAAATATTAGGTTGAAAGAAGTTGTGGATAAAATTAATTACGTTGATATATATTTCTATATTAAGTTTATCGAATATTTTATCAATTTTGACATTATTTAAAAATATTTTTTACAATGTAATTTCTAATATAATGAGCGAAATTGAAATACAATGTTATGTAAAAAAAAAGTTAGATGACTTTTAAAATTTTAAATCTGGGACCCAATATAAATTTTGAAGAAAAAAAAATTATCCATATTAAATTCAATTTTTAAAAGTTAGTTTATAATGATAATTGCCATTAGTAATGGGATTTTTAAGCCAAACCTTGAAACAAAGGGGTTTCCTCCTCTAACGATTTCTTGTAAACAAATGTGGAAATCACATTACTACCTAAAAGTATAATTTAAACAAAAATTCAGGAATGTCAAGTTCAATTTACTATAAAAAGTAATTAACACCCTGGTACAAAGTTTTATTTCATTTTAGGCATGTATTAAAAGCACTAGTTTGAAAATTAGCTTATTTATTATGAAACTAAATAATGTTATGTTACTTTCAAAATCATGTCCAAATTAATATTAAAAATACTTTTTATGTTTATATTAAATAAATACATTAATTCAATCTTGACAATTATTATTATTTTTACATAATATTGACATGTTAATTTCGGAAGTATTATGTTTTAAAACGCCAACAAATTATTGATAAGATAATTGGATAATAACATCATTAATTAAAAATAATAAAAGTGTCGTCAATTTTTTTTTTATTTGATAAGGGAATAATTAGTAGGATATTGTGACAACCGGACACTGAAGAGGGCGAAGAGTGATCGCCGGTGCAAAAGAGGGCACGAAGTTGCAAGGGGCACGAAGTAAGTCCAAGGGGGCCACAAATTAATAGGAGCGGTTCGTGGTTCGTGCAGGGTATTATAGGTATGAGAGGGTTCTAAGACTGGTATAGGTTATGGGGACTAATACAGTTGAGGATAGCTTAAAGATGATTGATTGTGGCTATCATATCACCAAAATGCATTTGTTTTTCGGTTATTTTTAGTTACCCTAAACTCATAAGAAACTAGCCTAGAGTAATTTAGGGATGATGAGTGACTTTGGGAAGTTTTCCCATAAAAATGTCGGTTGAAGTGAGCGACCAAAACACATTTGAAAGCCTCATGTTGATCTGTGGGGGCAGTCAATCTTCCCTGTAAGTTACCGGGTACACATCGAACATACACCGGAATGAGAGGGTAGCACTATACAGTTGAAGGATAGCTTAAGCGTTTTTAGGGATAATTTTTTTAAACTTTATTATATACAATAATCTATAATTTGATAGAGAAAATCACTTGAGTTTTAATTACAATTTAAATGATAATCCTTTAAGCTTGAAATAACAAATAGACGTAAATTTTTATTTAGCATTCAAAGAAAATGTATTTTCTTTAACTGTAGTTACTAATGGATTACACTTGTCATTGATATCGAATAATGGTATTTATATTGTCAATAACATTTGTCACTAACATAACAATGATGCGGATAAATATTAAATTTAGTCTACAAAATTTAAGCATGGCATTAATCATTCTGGTTAAATTGAATGGCTTAGATTAAATTCAACAAAAATTATATATTTTATAAGATTTATCACATTTCCTCCCTTTCTAAGTTCTTCGTGCTTGGCATTATTGTGTATAGTTTAACAAACAAGGAATGATATGTATTTAGTGTATTTATTTAATAATCCTAAAAAACACATCGACACGTATCCGTATGTATTTTTTTAAAACAGAAAAATAAAAAAAAATAATTATTATTGTAATTATGAAAATAAATTTAAACCATTTCAACAGTGGTGTATTATAGATTTTTTGGTTCTCTTTTAATATATATCAATATATATATATATATATATATATATATATTATTATATATTTTATTATATATTATATATATATATATTTATGTCGAATAGGCTTTTAGTTCAAGAATAACTAAATTTTAGACACATAAATAAAAAAATGTTCAAACATTAATTTAAAATAAACTGATAATAATTATTTTATTTTAAAATGTATTTAAAAATAAAAATGACAAAAATTATACCCGATAGATCCTACTTATATAATAGTGTGTATCTTATATTATTACTTATTACTGCATTTTAGTATGTTATATATAGGTTTATATAATATAGATATATATAATATATATATATATATTATATATAATAATAAACCATTAATAATGAATTTGAAAACTATAAAGCATCAATCGTTTAAAAATGAAATTAAACAAGATAAAACAACAAGAATTTTGCATCCGAAAAAATATATATTAATGAAACATTTCATATTGTTAGTTTGATATTTCACCTCATAAATGAATGGTTTTTATTTGCAATAGAGAATACGCATCAAAGAAGCATTTCAAATCTTAATTTGATATTTCATTTATAAACAATTTTTTATTATTTATTGTTAATGTATGGTTATTAAATTTATAATTTATAATTAGTAACTTTATGTCTTAAATACATTAAATAAAAAAAATTCCTGTTTAAAAGTTATTCCTATATAGTGTAGGCAGGTGTTAATATTAAAAAAATTGAGTAAAAGTCAAAGTCAAAATGCTAAATAGACGAGAGTAAAAGGTAAATGTTAAATGCTATATTATGATTTCTGTAGCGACATTAAATATCGTATTATCATTTGAATTATAATTATTGTTTAAAATTGGTTATTGTAAAGTATATTTAATATATAATCTTATTTTATTTCAGTGCACTTATAATAATGGTTTTTGAAAATAATGGATCAATAAATATAGAAAATAAATAATAAAATATGGGGTTTAAATTGTGGTAATTAGCAGGAGGTTATCTGGATGCATGATGCCACAACATTTTTTATGAAGGGTATGATTTTGTCCATAATCACTTAGACCATTTATTCGCAATCTTTGACTCTGTCTATCACAAGACATGTTTTTCTTCCTCACCACAGACACTCATAACACAACAACATGGTACGGATGTTTAGGGTTTGTTGGGATGAAATCAAATAAGATCGCAACGAATCAAGGGATCAGTTTTCATTCAAAATTTTGAAGAAATTAAAATTTTAAATAATATTGACAGTTAAAAAATATAAATTTGGAATGAAAATATATATAAAATGACTTCTCGTACTTTCTAATTGTGGTGAGTGCAGAAGTAATTACAAAAATTATAATGAAGAAAAAAAATGTTAAACCATTACACTTTTATGTATTAATTAATGTAAATACCTTGATTAAGCCACTAAGTGACTCACTGTGTAAATTATGTTGGAAAAAAAACTTACTATGTAAATTGTATCATTTCTTTAGTATATGTTATCAAAGTTTACCCTAATTTTTGAAATGAAGTATCTTACTGATGGTTAGAAAATAAATGTTATTTTTTACATTAATCTTATTGTGATTATATTAATTTGATTCAAATAGGGTAGTTTTAAATATCACCAATTCTAGTTGAGAGAAAAATATAATGCAATTTATGTATTTTTAAAAATTAAAAGCATACATTTTCCTGTTCCATCCATCAATGATTAAAAACCAGAGAAATACATTGCAAGGTGGATCGAGACGCAGTATGCCGAATTATGCAAGATGGTCTGAGTCAACGCAGTTTGACCACGAAAACGAGAATATGAGGAGTTTTTGGTAATTAAGTTTGTAGTTAAAGTAGGGACTCTCGCTCGTTTTAAATTCCAACATAACTTTCTACTCTGTATTCAATTGTAAAGAAAAAAATCATTTATTATATATATTGTTACCGGTTAAATATTTAAATAAAAGATATTTATAATTTTTAAAAATTGGTAAATATAAATATATATTCACAAGTATTTAATGTAATGTATAAGTTCTTAAAATAAAATTAAAAAATATAACATAAATTAAATTTTAATATTAATTTTTACTATAAGAAATATTCACATGTACGAACTATTTATCCGCGAACGGGAGTATCTTATACATGGAAGAGCACACCCACCCACATAAATAGATTTAACTTTCACATATTATGCGAACAAACAGACCTCTTTCTTATCTTTCCTCTCTTTTTCTGCCATTTCCAACCATGTTTTCAGACACGCCGTTCCCTTCCAAAAGACAAAAAACATCGCCGGATAAAACCTCTGACTTCTTCGAATATTTGCCGGACGATCTTCTCCTCTCTATCCTCTGCAAGCTCAGTGCCACAGCATCTTCACCCTCCGATTTTATCAATGTATTAGTAACGTATGTACTCACTTTTCTCAAACACTTCAAAAGAAGAAAAAAATTTGAGTTAAAAGTTTATGTTTTTAATGTATTTGGTGAAACTGAACAGGTGCAAGAGACTAAACTCTCTAGGCCTTCACTCTCTCGTGCTATCAAAAGCATCCCACAAAACATTCTCAGTCAAACCCCAAAATTGGTGTGATTCTGTTCACCGTTTCCTCAAACACTGTGCCGATGCCGGAAACGTTGAAGCCTGTTACACTCTCGGCATGGTTCGTTAACATATACCGTTAAAGAAATCTCACTGTTTTTTTTTTTTTATTTAATTTTATTTTAAATGTTGGACGAAAGTTTGAGTCTTGAATGTTATCCGCTTGCAGATTCGGTTTTATTGTCTGCAAAACAGAGGGAGCGGCGCGTCGCTGATGGCGAAGGCGGCTATGAATTCTCACGCGCCGGCGTTGTATTCTCTCGCGGTGATACAGTTCAACGGAAGCGGCGGCACAAAAAGCGACAAGGACCTTCGTGCCGGAGTGGCCCTCTGCGCCCGCGCTGCTTTTCTCGGTCACATCGATGCGCTGCGTGAGCTGGGTCATTGTTTGCAAGACGGTTACGGCGTTAAGCAGAACGTAGCGGAAGGTCGACGTTTTTTGTTGCAAGCCAACGCGCGTGAACTCGCCGCCGTGCTCTCCGGCTCGAACAATAAGCGTCCGTGGAACCTCCCGGTACCGCACCCGCGACTCCGTTTGGGGACCGGGACGGGTTGTCCACTGTTGAGTGATTACGGTTGCAACGTGCCGGCGTCGGAGACTCATCCGGCGAGTAAGTTTTTGTCGGAGTGGTTTGAAATTCGGAGCGGGTCACTGGGTCCGGGTATGAGACTGTGTTCACATTGGGGTTGCGGGCGACCCGAGACTAGGAGGCACGAGTTCCGGAGGTGTTCGGTTTGCGGTGTGGTGAATTATTGCTCGCGCGCGTGTCAGGCGCTTGATTGGAAATTCCGGCACAAGGCGGAATGTGCTCCCGTTGAGAGGTGGCTCAATGACGACGGGGAAGAAGTCGCCGGCGAGGACGGCGGCGGCGACGCCGTTATGATGGCTAATAGTTAGATTAAATTAAACGTTAGAACAAAACCCGTCTGGAAGTTTCAATGAAGGGGTAAGAATCTATTTTTTTCGTTTGGGGTGAAATGGGAAGAAAAAAAAATCTCATTTATTACCTTGGATATGCAAAATGCAAACTTCAATGACAGAGTTTTGCTTCCTTTTACTTTTACTGTTGTATAGTATTACCGGCAGTGAAACCTTAATTAGTTCTCCTTAAAAACAAAAAAAAAAAAAGAGATACTTTTTTGTTTTAATATAATTGATAAATTAAGATATATGAATTTTTATCGTTATTTTTATTAAAGTAACTCTATCATAAAAAAAGCTTTTGAAAATTTGTAATGAGATCTGAAAGAAGAAAAGTAAACGAGGATTGCACAATGCACATAAGAAGAATGGTAATGAATGGTAGAAAAGAGGTCAAAAAGGGTACAACAAGTGGAGTTGGGTTTTACAATCTTGCCTCCCTCAGAACACCCATTTCCACCATTTATGAAAGTGATTATGACAACTGACAATAAAATGTGCCAAACACTTGATGGCACCGATTCTTTCCTGGATAATTATTTTTCACTTGCTGTTTCAAATAGCTATCAATCTTCTTTAGGAAAGATTTCCGAGATATTCTTCTATAATTGCATACAGAAAAAAAAAATTGCTGGAAAGTAAGAGTGCTGGAATATTAATAATAGCACTTGGAATCCTAGAATCACTTTTTCTACATTAAAAAAAAAAAAAACAGTTCTTATCTTACTTACTTCAGGTTTCGGTCTTATATAATAGTTTTTCAATTTGCCGTTTGCCACCATGGGAAGTTAAACAGTTATTTGACTATATAATTATAATTTTTTAATAAAGAAAACCCGTTTTGAATGAATATTAATTAGGGTTTTGTGGATGCAATTCAATTTTGGCGGTTGAGTTGAGGTGGGGGTTATGTGTCTTTTCACATACAGTGTTTGATGCGCATTCGAGAAAAAGGAAGTGAATTTATTAGAATTAAATATTGTCGTGTGAGTGTGTGGTGGGAGAGCCACTCATTATGCATTTAAAAGCTACACATATCTATGGTGGTCCAGGCCCAGTTCGATTAGGCCCATTATTACAATTTCTATTTGAGTGCTTCATCCTACACCTCCAACATCTCATCCTGCACCTCCAAAAATTCCATTTTTAACCTTCTGACATCCTGCACCTCCAACCTTTTTAAAAATTTCATTTTTAACTTTCTTCTCTTTCTAATTAAAGAAATTTTATTTTCTTCTCTTTTTCTTTTAAAGACACTCTACACCACCTCAATGATAATTCTAATTTAATTTAAAATTTAAATATTATTTAATATAATTTTATATTTTAATAATTATTAAAATATGATTTATATTATAATAATAGCTATATTAAAAAATTAAAAATCAGTTTTGTTTTTTATTTAAAATTTAATCAATATTTAATTTAATTAAATTTATAGCATTATTTATTATATTTTTATATTTTAATAATTATTAAAATATGATTTATATTTTTATAATAGTTTTATTAAAAAATAAAAATAATAATAACTAAAATAAGAGTAAAAGTAATAAAATTAAAAATTATATTAAAAATCACATTTAATATATTTAAATATATTAAATTATATCAAAATATTAAATTAAATTAAATAATTATTAAAATTTAAATAAAAAGCAAAATTTTAAAAACGTTATCGGATATTGACGTCCGATAAATTTATAATCGTATATGGATATCCGATAAATAAATTTTTCTAAAATTTTGATTTTTATTTCAATTTTAATAATTATTTAATTTAGTTTAATATTTTAATATAATGTATTTAATTATATTAAATGTGATTTTTAATATTATTTTTATTCTTATTTTAGTTATTATTATTTTTAATTTTTAATAAAACTATTATAAAAATATAAATTATATTTTAATAATTATTAAAATATAAAAATATAATAAATAATGCTATAATATTTAGTTAAAATAAATATTGATTAAATTTTAAATAAAAATCAAAACTGTTTTTTATAACAAGTTTTTAAAAATTTTTGTTCCTATTTACAATTTAATAATTGTTTAATTTATTTTAATATTTTAATATAATTTAATATATTTGAATATATTAAGTCAAATTTTATATTATTATTATTATTTTATTTTTATTTTTATTTTTTTATTATAGTTATTATTATAATATAAATCATATTTTAATAATTATTAAAATATAAAATTATATTAAATAATATTTAAATTTTAAATTAAATTAGAATTATTATTTAGGTGTTGTTGTTTGTTTTTAATAGAAAAAGAGAAGAAAATAAAATGTATTTAATTAGAAAGAAAAGAAAGTTAAAAATGAAATTTTTAAAAAGGTTGGAGGTGCAGGATGTCAGAAGGTTAAAAATGGAATTTTTGGAGGTGCAGGATGAGATGTTGGAGGTGTAGGATGAAACACTCTTTCTATTTTCATTTTCCAAAACTAAGACCATGTTTGGATATGTAAAATAACACCAAGTCTTTAATCTGTCGGTTATTTTAGTCTCTGTCTTAACTGAAACCAGTTAATGCTACTGGAAATATTGATTTGGTGCATTAAGAGCATATAAAATGCTAAATTAGATCCACACGTGGCACTATTTTGTTCACGAAAAGTAATTTTTTTTTCAACCATTTTCCTTTATTGAAATATCTTTATCATAGTTCATGCCTTTTTTAATTTTTTGCTGGAAATGGTGCTTTTTTGCATTATTTATTTACTATCTTTTAAACTCATAATTTAACTGTGAACATTCATTTTTATGGTAACCTAAGTCTATATTTCTTTCTATTATTTTAATATCATTTTCTTTAGTCACAATACTAGTTAACAAAGAAGAAATAAAATAAAAAAGGCATTAAAAGAAGAAATAACTGGGATTATACACAAAAAATTATAATATTATAACAAAAAGTTGGTGATGGACACATCTCTAGTAACAAGTCCATTGTACCAATGAAACATCATCCACATACAAGCCACCGACAAATATTAGTAAAACGATAAAAGAAAACAAAAAAAAAAACACTTTTTTCTATTTCCAAAATTTCACACTTGTCTCTAACTACATAAACCTATATATATTATATATTTGTTAAAAATATTTTCTGAGGAATTTTATGACTCATTTAAATATTTCCGTTAAATATATCTCATCAGTGTATATTTATGGTAAGACGTGTTTGACAAAAAGAATTTTTTTTCAGAATATATCTTCAACTATATGATGTTTTTTTTTATTTCTTGAAATGGATCTCTTTCTAAGTGTAATTGAAAAGGATAATGATACTTGTTTTTCAATATTGGTGGATGATTCTTCACACTGAATAAGTATAGTCGTTTCTCAATGATAATCTGTGGACATCAGCATAATTATTTAAACTAATCACTCTATTAATAAATTCTTTACTAATTATTTAAAGTAATTTTCTTATTGACAAATTTATATATAATCATATCTCTAATACACGTTTTACGGATTTTTTTTGTTTACTTTTTCTTAATGTCATCTCTATACTTATAGCTTGTAGGGCAAATGAGATTCTTTTAATAATGTTTATATTTTTAAATTTCAAAATAGACATTTGTATGCTTTATTTTATTAATAAAATGATATCTATATTTATTTTGATTGATATTTATATTCATATTAAAACCATATTTACGTTATAAAGTAATAAATTTAATTATATATTTTATAGTTATTTAATTATTTTTGTTTTAACACAATATTTTCTCACAAATATAATTAATTATTTTTTATATACATAGTTGAGTGACGATATATAGATAATTTTAATACATAATAACTAAATTGTTTAAATTTTACGAAAAGAATGTTTAACTCTATTTTAAAATTTTAGTTAAAACTAGCCTTAATAAATATGTTATTTTAAATAAAATAAGACAAATATTTTATAAAAATATATAGGAGGTGGGTGTAACTTTATTAAAATATTATAAAGAATCAAATTACGGCCTATTAAAGAATCAAATTGAATTAATTGCAAGTGATGATTATTCATAACTGAATGAAACTTATGTCATAAACATTACATGTACAACATCTAACAAGAAGTTAAACGAAACACTAGCACAGAATTATGTATGTGTGTGTACAGAGATAATATTCAATTACCAAAACTAGATGCCGATAATAACTGTTTTTTCTTTTAAAATAGAAAGAAACTTAAAACAAACTGTCCAATATACATGTGGAGATAGAAATCATGAACATGTATATGGTTTCAGTGGGTAAAGACGCAACAAGAATGAAGAGTTGTTGAGATATATTTATCTTTTAAGAATTGATTAGTGAGTCGTACAAGTAATGCTAAAAAACTAAAAGCTATGTTAATTTTAGCGATTCCACTCAAAGAAATCAAATTGAAGAGTCTGAGGAGCAATGACATTTTATCTGCATAAAGGAGGAAACACACTTTATGAGCATTATTTAGACCATTTACATAAACCCTATCTTCTACATGGATTAGTTATACAGTCTTACCAAGTCTTACCAACTTCAATAGTGCTAGTCACTAGTCACTACCACCACATGGCCTAGAATGTTTCAACCCACAGAAACAAGGTCACTCAGAAGCAAATGTTTTCAAGACGTAAAGCTCAATTTAATCAGAATCAGATGATGATTCTGAGCTCTTTTCAACATAGGCTGCATCATCTCCTTTCAAGTTCCCCTGACACTGTTTAAATGCCTTCGCAATCTCATCAATGGGAATCAACGGTAGATACCCAATAAAACAGTAACCCTTTTGAGTCATGGCCTTGATCACATGGTTGTACTTCTCTGACCAGTGAGCAGCAGTGGGAACTGCCATCTCTGCCAATGCATGGAATGGTGGATAATGGTCGAGTCCATTCCACAACTTAACTGAATTTATCAACACAAAATGCTTTGACTCTGTAGCCACATAATGCACAGCTGCTCTTGGCCCCCCAGATTGAGCTTCACCAGCAACTTTCCCTGCCTCGTTTGCCACTTTCTGAATCAAACTTTTTGCAAGATTCGCGAGGTGCTTAGCAACGGGAGGAGCATGCTCATCGAACTTCTGTGTAGCTTCATCCACCTGTCCAAATCTTATGCTAATTAGTTTAGGAACAAATCGATCAATAAATTAACAATGTCTTTCAAACATTAACATGGAATCTCAAGTGCACAAGGTACAAAGGACAAATAATCCTTTAATTCAAGGCTTTTCGATTCAGATGAAAGCAGAGAAATCCCAATTCTTATTATCGAGGAGCTTTTAGAAATAACACCTAACAAACTGCGTATAAGTTGTCCTGAAGAAAAACAGCAATTTGCGAAAGTTGAACCTTTCCAGCATCATTAAGTCAATCTTCACTTCAAATACCAGGTAAATGAATCAAGGAAACTCCTCCTCATGAGAAGTTTAACCTTTCCACCACAATTAAATCAGTTTGGCCAACAAAACGAAGTTATTGATTTCCAACCTTTTATTTATATCTTCATAAGGTAATAACTACCCACTAACACAATCTACTTTTTAATTGCAGGCAGAAACCGCTTCCTTATTGGCTATTCAAGAAACACATCCGATGATCAAGATCGAAAGTAATAGACCAATTGATGATTACAAGCTGAGTATGAATCATTAACACCCATTCTCCCAATTTTGCCATCATCCTTATCATCAGATCCACGAGAGAAACCAGAAAGGTTATAAAAACCATTCAAATAAAACAACGCATTTTATCTTAACACGTACATGTGAAATGAGAAAGGGGTAAAGGAAGAAAGAAAAATTACCTTTTTGTCAACGAAAACCAGGACATCATCAGGGAAGCCCTTGAACTTGTTGCATACTGGACCAAGAACGGTGGTTACAGTATTTTCCACCGTTCCAACAGGAGATCTCAAAGGCCCAGAATTTTGCTTTGCGTACTCATACAGATTTGACACAAACACAAAGGTTTGAATAGCAGCAATCCTCACAAACCCCAGGTGCTTTAGGTCTTTATTCTTCCTGTCAACCGTTACCTCCAACTGCAGGGAAAAAGTAGAATCTCAAATTAATTACTTACACTACAATATTTACAATCTCCAACTCCATGGACGAAAAAAAATCAGAAGACAACTAACCTCGGTCTTGGCCATTGATTTGTACGTGTCAGAACTGAATCGGTACTAAAATTTAAGAAGTGGAGAGTTCAATTATGTTTTACAGAAAAGAACGGAGGAAGAAAAATGAAAAATAATAACTGAAAATGACTCACAGGATGGACAGAGATGACGGTGTCGGAGAGAAAAGCTTCAACTTTGTTTGATGGCAATTGGTTTAAATGGGTAATGGAAGGCACCTTATATTATGCGCATCTAAATCTCATCGCATGGCACATCAGAATAAAAAACACACGTCTATGTGTTCCTCAAGCAAAGGGTGGGGTCTACGTTCGGACCGACTCTTTTGGATCTTTCTAGGGTAAACTGGCTATTTCCAGAAGCCACGTGGCACTTCGTTGCTAATTGAGAACCTTCTTAGGAGTGGAGCGACCGGGATCTACATTTATGTCAAGACTCACAAACTGACCATAAACCAGTCAAATCAATCAATAGCTTAGTTGGAAACTTATAAAGCAATTGATATTTAGGAAAATTAAAGTTATTTTATATGGTTCAAATATTTTTGCACACCTTTAAATTTGGTGTTATTTTTGTTTTTAAAAATTTAAAAATTATTTTTTACTTCTGTTATTAATAAAATTAACTTCCTAAACGTTATGAGAATAAATACTCTAAAATAGGCTTTTTCACAAGCGATCTACAAGTCATGCAAGAGAATTTTTTGATAATATTGGGATGGATAGATTAATATATATGTTCATATCATAATACTAAATAATTAATTTTATCCCAAATGTAAGACATTTTTAAGTCGATATTTGTCCAACAAAGTAGAATTATGTTAAAATTCATTAATCACAAAAAAATAAAATCCAATATAAATCTAAAATGAAAAAAAAATTAAAAATGTGTTCCACTCCAAAACATGAAATGTAATCACTACACTGACCTTTAACAATTTTTAAATTGAATAAAGATGACAAGATGTCACATGTTATAATTATCAACATTCAAATCACATTTTATATAAGTTTGTACCTTATTTCTCCAAATTGTATTTTTTATCTGAACTCGGGCCGTCAATTTGAAGTTCTTATGAGGCCATTGTTCCAATCATACCTTCCTAAAATTTCAATGGATTTAGTGTTTCTAGTTAGAGATGATAAGTATTCGATAAAAAAAACATAACCTACATCTTTTAAATGAAATGGAACGAGGTAACGACTGAATAAAGATCAGGAAAGGTAGTGAACAACTTTCACCAAATAAAATTTGTAAGAAATACAAAGTACCAATAGCAATAAAAATAATTTATGAGCACATCTCATCAATTTGACTTAAACGAAATAAACAAATAAATATAATGAGATAAGAATATAAAAAAGGTTTTTTTTTTTGTACGTGATGGAAAGAAGATAAGGAATATGAATTAAGTATCTGTATTTAAAAGTAATTTATATATCATTACTTAGTATTTAACGTGAACAAATTATGAAAAACAGTGGGCTAGAAAGCAGGCCATTGGGATTTCTATGAAGTCATTGCATCAACTGCTACTACCAAATATTTATTTTATACGCCATACATGACGGTGCCGAAGGCGTGTACAAGTTTGTTTCTGTAACTGAATTATCCACAAATACTGAGTGGGTCCAAATTCAGGTTCACAGGACCTCGGATCTCTGTCGCTTTATATTTTGATGGATAGGCTCCTTCACCTACAAAAGAATAAATGTAGCAAAAGAAGAAAATTACTTTCAGGCTACTGACATGTCCAAATCAAAGAAAGAAAATACAATATCACTGTGTAAGGCATAAAGAAGCCACAACATACCGCGCTAGTTTTCCTTGACCGTTTCTCTTGGGAAGACTTACTGCATATAATTGTATCACCTTCGTCCCCTTGATTTGCAATTCCTTGTGTTCTTCCATTCTCTTTGCCTATCGCGAAACTCTCTCTTGAAATAACAGGCTGTACAATTTCAAAATAGCTTACGTAAGTTGTATGTACACAATATTCGACTATAAAGAAAATGGAAATTTAATCAATATAACGAGTCTCAACCCTGCTTATGGGGGTGTTTCCGGGCTCTTTTGCCTTTGTTGCGTTCTGTCCATTCCCGGAATTTGTCTCAGATGTCACTTTCATTCGGGTTAGATCTGATCCAATGGAGTGAAGAACCCCACATGTAGACACGTCATGGTTGTTTCCTGATCAACAAGAAAGAACAAGATGGTTTAAGTTGACTAGAGTCTTTTTAGAATGAAAGCTACTATAGAAGACCTCCATCATATCTCCACTTCTCACAAACTCTTTTATTTTATACTTAAAGAGATGATAAAGTTCTAATATCGAACATCTACGGCATTGGAATGTAAAAACATTAACGGCCTTAATCCGTTACCATTTAAACGAAAATCAGTTAATTTGGACTTGCTATTTGGTTCACAGTGATCAACATCCTGTGAAATTTACAAACGTGAAATTTGTCAACATGCATGGAAAAAATGGTGATATAAACCACAAATACTCGGTAGTTGTTACCATAGCTTCCGTAGCACTTAGAGCTTTCTGGACTTCAATGAATTTCCTTTCAGTCAACTCAGAATGGATAACACGTTTCCCTGAGGCACAGCAGCCACGAAAAGGAACCCGGAAAAAAACAGACAAACAAATCAGAATGATTATTATCTAATGTGTTTTTGGTCCCAGAATAAGAATGCGCCTAAATCACATCAAATACTCGCGTATAACATGCAGAACAAAATACGCACTCAATTTGATACCTAATCTTTTGCTGCCTTTGGGTTCGACAAACCCATCCCGCACCATTTTATCAATTATCTTTCGAGCTGCCGTCTGGTTTACTTCTCCCTCAAGTAAACTTTGAAGCTTACTGATTGACACGTGCGTCATCGGAAGAGCATGATAGAGAGCCTGCGATATTTACTCATAAGTTAGGATATATTATAACGCAAAGAAACCGTCATTTGACTAAACAACTACTTTGATAAGTCAAAAATTTAAGAGGTCCGTGATAATATTTCGTGTACTGTACAGATTAGACAAGAAACTCCATCCTTCCATGCTTCAGATGATACATGGTGTTTTGAAAGATAGAGATAGTTCACATTAAGTAACGCCTTTGGTATTTGCTATGATACTAAATACTAGCAGCATCTTGCTCAGTTCATTTCAAATTGGTATTAATTAAGAGGTACTTTACTTAAGCCCAAAGAAACATCACTTCTGTACCTGAGCTATAGATCATTCATTGTGAACACCGTTGTACAAATTACAAGTCAGCAAAAGAGCCAAACATCCTCATAGGAAACACGAAAAAATATAAAGAAAAATAAAAACTTACTTTCATGTATAAGCGATCTTCAACCGGTAAAGCTCTGTCAAAAACTTTAGGAAGCTGACCGTCGATTTCTTCTTTCACAATGGCGAACTCATATTCAAGGTTCTGACGTTGCAATTTCATCAGAAAGGGGTTGATAAGGGAATGGAGTACTTGAACAAGGAAAACAAAGGTAGGGGTAAAGGTCAAAGGTCAATTGAGGAAAAAAGTCAACCTTGTCCTTGTTAATGGCGTAGGATTCCTTCCCTATCTTCGACAGCACACCTTCCTCGACAAACTTATCCATGATCTCTAAAGAACCAATGACAATCAAGGAAAAGATAAATAAAGCTTGCAATGATAAAATCTGCGAACAGTCGAGCATGATTAACGTTCATACCTTCAGTTAGAACCTGAAAGTAAAACAATTCAATTGATATTATTTTTGACAAAAAATGTGAAAATAAACTAAAGTTTGTAGTTAGATAAAATAATGGCTTGCGAAAAAACATAATAGTGTTGTAATATTCATGGGGGGAAATAGGTACCACGGAGATGTCTGGAAAATTCGATAGAACATCAGTAAGTTCAATGGTGTCACGGTGACAACAGTTGATCCACTCCTTGACCCGGACCCGCTGTTGCTCATCTTCCACCGGATCCTGTGTATTGTCTGAACAGAATATAGATCATTAAATATTCAGAGTTACAGGCTAATAACTGAATTAACAGTTTTAAAGAGCTAGAAAAATAAGAACTTATTCACTTTGTCAACTAACAAAGACACATAAAATATGATTCCTCCGGGTTGAGTATATATAAACAAGCATAATGATAAAATTTACCTTCATCAATCGTGCCATTGTCTTCCTGTTCTTGCTGCTTATCTGTTTTCATAGGTACATGTTAAAAGAAAACAATGGAGAAAATAGAGTTGTGCAGTAATAAGAAAAATGATACTAGTTACCTATTGGAGCAACTACATATCGATTCCCTTGAGTAAGATCAACCTGAAAGTTGTAAAATCTCATTTAAATTAGACGATTGTCTCAATCACATGTCAATCAGTTTCGGCCATATCAAGCACCATCCGATTTACCTCACTGTCAGTATCATAATACTCATTCTGTTGCATTGAATCATCGCCATTGCTCATATCGTCCGGGATTCCTTCGTTATCATCTTCACAAGGGTCGAGTACACTCTTCACCTATAAAATTGAAGAGGAAATGATGGGCAAAAACATTTGTAGATTTAGAACGTTATCTGTAAACACGATATTCTTCCATTACCTTAAGAGCTAATACGAAGTGCTTGCTGTTTACATTCCCAACCTCCATTTTCAACGGATTTTTCTCCCATGGATGATAAGCTTCTTCACCTGTGCAGTCCCGGAAGAAAGGAGGCTCATAATCAGCAGGCTGCAGAAAAAAAAAACAGTTATATTGAAACCACCCCGACCCTGTATATAAATAAGTCAGCCTTTGTTTTTGACATAACAGAGTATACAAATGTTCACTGTTGCGTATATATGACCAACGTCATTAACCATTCTCTATTAAACAACAACCTGACCAAAAAGCAATTCGAGTCTGATCAATGCAGAAATTCATAAAAGAGATAAAAGGGACCGAGATTTGCTATTTACGATAAAAAAAAACATACCGTCACATCATCGTAGTAGAGGAGCTTCATCAGGATGGTACGCTGAGGAAATAACGCAGAAGCAGATTAGGCAATAGACGCTAGAGCATTAAGATATATCAATGCGAAATTATTAAGGAAAGCATTTTGAATTTATTTACTTACCTCATCTGGCATTTTCTCCAGAGTTCTCATCAACTGAACCAGAGTACGGATCATTTTACACGCAGAACTCCTAGAGGTGTTATCGAATATAAATTATATTAGTTTGATTGTGAGTGAACATGATAAGATCGGCACAGATGTAAATTATATTTTCTTT